AATACATTTCCACTTTAGTTCACTTTGTTTCAAAGTAATTTGAATATCCAATGTGGTGATGTCTTGTTGTGACCAGTCTGTGCGGTCACTCCATGCATCTCTTTGGAAAACAATGATGTGGCTTTTGGTAAATGTACCAGGGTGAACAATATCCTGCTTCGATTCTATTTGGTGTGGTTACATGTTTCAGGATAAGGATTCCAAGTTCAGGCTCATTCTCATCGAGAGCCGTATCCATCGCCTTGCTCGCTACTACAAGACGAGGCGTGTTCTTCCCTCCAACTGGAAGTAGTAAGTCCTTGCTAATATTCTTACGGTGTCTTACCACATCTGGATGTCGCTTCACTGGCACATGTTGTGTGAATGTACTTCACATTTACTTTTTACTAGCTTTTTAAATAGTGTCGTCTTGGCGATTCACATTGCCATCGTCATGTCTCTGGCCGGCCTATCTACAGAATGGTAGACCATGTGGACAATTTCATTGTAGAGTCGCATGCTGAAGAACGCCAAAGCCTAAACTTGAGAATGGCAGCTTGTAGGACACAATGTTCCGGTGCGGATTTTTGTCTAAGAACGTGTTATACGACTGCAGCCATGAGTAAAAATAAGGACGTCCCAGGCTAACCCCTTGGAAACATCGTTCTTGGGTGCTCGACTGTACTGCACATGTTTCTCTGGAAAAATTGGGTGCCATGGTTTTGTTTGCAGATTTAAAAAAGCAGTGAAGCTCCCATTTTGCCCTACATGCGTGTACTTACTTGACCTATAGGCTTGAGGTTACAGTAAGATTTATACACAAGTAAACTCCCTATACCATAAATCCATTCTATCTATTGAGTTGATACATTTTTTCCGGGGTGGTGGTAACTTGACGTTTTCGTTCTGTAATATTTGTCCATAATGCCGGGTGACTCATTGATATAGATTGCCGGGGATGAGTTACAATCAGACCCAATCAATTGCCAGCAGCAAGCCATTGCTTCTTCCAGATTACCTCAATAAATAATTTCATTGCTATTTAGCATGTTGGCACAGCTAAATGGTTGATGTGTGAATAACTCTCTTGTCTCATTTCTGTTTGCTCGTTTGCCTGCAGTGAATCATCCACCGCCTCTGCTTTGGTTGCATAAATTGCCTTCAGCATAACATTCGAAAGACTAAAAGCTAATAATGATGGCTGTTGTTTAGTGAGAGTCGTTTGATGTCCGTGCTATGTTTGCAAGCTCCTGTAACCACAGTGCAGATTGGGGTATGACATTTTGAAACTTGTTAGTGTCCTTTTGCAGGACTTGCATGGACCTCCCTTCTCAGAGGCTGTTTACATGAGAAAAATAAGCCTGGGCGTATTCACCTCAGGCTTATTTATTTCCACCAATTACAACATGGGCTTATATGTGAAGTGATGCAATTAAGAAAAATATCCCAAATTTACAAGTCCGTGGCCATAGCGCAAGTGGGTCTGTCATATACAGCATACTCTCCTGGCGAACTGCACTCTGTTTACATGAGAAATTTCAAACCTGGTTGAGTTCAGCCCGGGTTGAAAGTCTGTACGATAGACAAAATAGGTGAGGGTTTACATGAAGACAGTTGACCCGGGTCAAATACTGATATGCCGCCAAAAGTCAACTTCTAGAGTCATGTGTGATCACGTGAATCCGTTCGCGCGAAATTTGCATATGCAGTCATGTTCAAAAACCTGGCGCGGGATACGCACAGAAGTACGTTCGTACAATTTTCCTGACCCGGGTCAAGGGGCGTAAACGCGCCATTCATTTTGTGTACATGGCGGGTTGAAATCTGGCTCGGGCTGAAACGCCTCGTGTAAACACAGCCTAACGGGCTGTACTATGGTAGGAAGACTCCGTATTGTGAAAAATTCTACTTGACTGGCGAGTCGCACCATATTCCCTAGTGTTTTCTTTTATTTCCGTGTAGTACTGAATACGTGATCAAGTATTCCGATTTGGGTAGAAGTGGAAATTGGACTGGAGATTGTATTATAAGATAGCTACTTCGTATGAATAGGATGAAGGGCGCAGACATCACGCCAATACGCTACTTGTTCGAGATGAATGTGTATTTTATAACAATAAAAAAAAAATTATTATTGAAACCCAGAATCGATTTTCTCGTTCCTACCATCAGTGGAAAAAACGGAACTAAAGAATACAACGAAAGAAACTGAAGTTAAGTACTGTGTTAAATAGAAGGGTGTTAGAAAGAACATCATGATATAAGTGCAATAAAACCACTAGAGGAAACGCGAAAAGGCAACAAGATTGCGAAACCAAAGGTAAGAAGGCACTGAACGAAGTGCCAACCTACGAATACAACCTCAGTGCAAAAACGTGCCCTTTCTGCTCACACAAAACAGGCTTATGAATACGTATACAAACTGCCTCAAGGACTGTCAACTGCTGAACATAACGAGCACGACACAGTACAGAAAAACGAGAGTCATCATACACACAAAGACAGTCAGGACGAGATAACAAGTGTAGATACAGCGCCGACTTCTTACGATCAACACATTCATCCGCCTCATCTCGCTCTTTCCAATCCGACTCCTCCTCGTCCATCCCATCGTCCTCTTTCTCGTTCCGCTCGTCATCCACACGATCATCATCACCACCCTCATCTGCCTCGTCCTCTGTCTCTTCAGCGACCGTTTCTTCATCCAATTCCTCTTCCATCTTCTCATCATCCGTCTCATCCTCCGTTTATGTACAGCCCCCTCTTCTCCCATTTGCTAGCTGCTAGTGCCGTGACCGGAGCTGTTCCCCCAGATCCACTTCACTGACTGACTCATGATACTGCTCGACCCTCCTCCTGTTTGTACTCACGGTCCGCAACGCGCGGTCCTTGGCCGTTTCCGGCATAAATCTCTGTGGAGTAGTTTGCTGTTGCCCTCCGAGATCTCTGGATTAAGGGTGTAGATTCAGTGAGATGTCTGCATTGCCTGTCTTGCTGAGTAGGTGCTGCGGGCGCCGTGGCAATTTGTGCTTTCGGGCACGTTCGTTCGCACCCTACTCTATGGCAAAATACGATTCGCTCATCATCTCGGTATGCATGCGTCTGCATTTTCATCGTCACGAGGTGGACGCATTACCCACAAACCGCTTGAGACAATGCCGCCGTGCATGTTCGTTCATAGCCTACTCAATGGCAAACGACGGTCCGCCCATCATCTCGGTATGCATGCGCTACATGCAACAGCTGCTTAACGGCTTGAGACAACGCCGTCGTGCACGTTCGTTCCCACCCTACTCTATGGCAAAAGACGATTCGCTCATCATTTCGGTATGCATGCGTCTGCATTTTCTTCGTCGCGAGGTGAGCGCTCGTGGTCTCGGTATGCATGCGTTTGCATTTTCCCCATCACGAGGTGGGCAAATAATTGTCCCACAAGCCGCTTGAGACGATGCCGCCGTGCGTGTTTGTTCATAACGGTGCAAACTCCGAGGTGAGCACTCCTCGTCGTCATCGTCTCGGTATGCATGCGCTTGCATTTTCTCCATCACGAGGTGAGGCAATTGCCCACAAACAGCTTGAGACAATACTGCCGCGCACATTTGTTCTCAAACTAGTGCCAACGCTCTTTCAATTCTGTATGCTTCCACCGAAAACCTCTAAGCACTTACATGTACATGCACAACACAGTCAAGCACTTAAAGTAACTACACGGACAGACTTGAGTCTTGAGACCTTGTCTTCGGCATTGTTCTACCTGTCCGACAAGTTCGTGCATAACAAGTACTCGCAGACCGTGAATAGTTAGCGTAGATCCATGCACTTGAGCGCACATCACTTCACCTTTACTCAAACACGACGCTAGACGGCTACCTAATGCATCGCATCATTCATTCATTTCAGATGTATCGCAGGTGATCATCTTCTTCCCAGGGCTACATCCTGAGTACATAATTATGTACCTCTCTTCGAGTAGCGCGCAAGTGATCGTCTTCTTCGCAGTGGTACCTCTCTTCATTTGGTCATTGCCGGCTAACCTGTTGCTTCATGCAGAGTCGAGCAGGCTTACAACGGTGATGCATTGCTTTATTCGTGGAGTATCAGGTTTGGTGACGGTGGTGGTGGTGGTGGTGCTCACCGTGATACTCCAGAGGGAAAACAGAGTTTGTTGCACGCACACAGTTTAACAAATATAGATAAAAACAGAGTTTGTAATAAAAATAAAAGACATTTCATTGATACAGTTTAAAAAAAATGACATTTCATTGATACAGTTTCAAAAAAATATAAATTTTTTTTTGTAACAGCATAACAAACACTTTTCAAAGTTACCGTCACACTTTCTTCAAAAGTTATGGTAACACAGGTACATCGCAGTACACGGGTGTTACACGTGATCTGGTAACACTATTTGACGGATGTCACGGTAAAGTAATCAGGGTCAAACCACAAATTGACAGGGTCAAACCACAGCCTGTCAAAACATGACAAGGTCACTTCCGGGTCAACTTTGTTCTCAAACCCTCCTGTTACCTTCTACTGTGAGCCAAGGATTACTTATGAAAAGTAAAAAGAAGCTGATTGTTCAGTAACTGGTGGTGCTAGTGGACATTATAGTGTAACTTATAGTTACTTGGTCCTTTATACTTTTTCTGAAAACACAATTGTATGCTTAGTACACTATTCCCCCCATCATGAACGCGAGGTTTTCTCATGGTTCACGTCAGACTCGCCTAGAGTCTGAGATTTCCGCAACGGTAGGAACGCAACCACCCTTCAAGAATCGCGAATGAACGCGGAATGAATGATGAACGCGAAACTCTTTTCATAAGAGCCAAAAATATGTAAAAGAGAAGGGACACATTGATATAATGGTACCAGTGTTGAGAACCACTGTCTGTTACAAGAGGTGTCATACATTTGCGAATCTAAATTGAGTGTGAGTAGGTGGTGTAGTCCGGGCATCGCTGGCATCCACATCATGCGATATGTAATTTTGTGCATACTTCGAAGTATTCCCTTACCTGTTCTAGATGACGGCTGTGTGGTACACACATCTCCACATTGCACTTGCTCCAGAAAGGAGGAGAGTATTGCCTAACACAATTAGACAACCAATCAGCAGACGTATGCCTATGTCATTTTGCTGACGAAAAGAGAAGGCCAATAAGATAATGTTGGCAACGAGTACAACGAAAAGCACTGAAGTGAAAATGAGGACATACATTATTATAACGAAAGCACTCACTACCGTGCGTACAATGTACATGCCAGGCTCTCAAAACACAACAAAATGATAGTTACGGTGAAGTTGGTTCTGTCCAAAGGCGAGGAACCGTTGGAAAACTGAAATGATAAAATTAAATCAAGAGTTGCTTAGTTAAAAAGCGCTACTTCATAATTTTGAGGGAGTTGAAAACAGGAAAAGTCTGAGTAAGCTCTGCTTCCTGTGTTTTTGCTCGTAACCCTGCTTGACGTGTATGCTGTGCCATTACCAAACCCCTGAGTGGCTCGCTGCTTGATTAGAGAGGTTCCGCACTACGTAAAGTTGAGCAACTTTACGTTAGTGGGCGGGAAAAACCCGTGAATTCGCGAGTTTGCACTCCACTTACGGAAAGTTGTCTACGTAGAGTACTTAGATAGGGCTCTGATAACGTAGCTGGTCCGTAAGTGGATTGGGGTACAAATTTATGACTCTCTCCCCATGGCGATCTGGTCGTACACTGCCGCGTTCGGAGTTGCCAAGGGCAGCTACGTGATTTGAAAACTCCGTATGGCGGAACCCAGATGCCCATGCAGTTTACGTAAGACTTTCCGTAGATCGACTACATTTTTAATTACGTTATGCGGAACCTCTCTATTACCTCTCCGATATGCTAGGTTAAGACGTTACGTATGAGCGTCTGACGTTGCAAATGTCCAAAGTCATGTTCTAGGGAAGCTACTCAAAATCAGTACGTATATGTAGCAAGCATAGTTATTATCCGCAGCTGTCTCTCACCTTGCGCCAGATATTCCTGTTCTACTTCGCGAATGAATGGTTTGATAGTACTTGTACTAGGGGCAGTGATCGCCAAGTCCGCTACAAGGAGTACATGACCTCCAAGAGGGCATTCTTGCCGCCACTTTTAGTATAGTTGGTGGGCCACATTTCCCTATCCAGCAGTGCGCCCACCACTAGATCAGTACTGCAGTAGACAAATGCACTTCAAACTTGCGTCAATTCGCACTGCACCATGGGTTGAGTCATCCTCAACACTCTGGATTGATAACTACCAACATTTGAATGACTTCTTTGTGTTGTACATTTGAGGTACGGCTTCCAGACTCTAAACAGTGGAACTGGCTTAGTACATACATACGCTGATGAAACACTAGGGAGATTTAGTCCCACGTGACGGATACGGGAACGTGGTTGATACACGTAAAGTTTATGTAATGGACCCACGTTCGCAAAGTTGTTTTTTTGTCACTCGGAACAAACAAGAGCATGAAGCAAAAGGCCCAAACTGGTCAACGACGCAGCTTCACAGCTCATCGAATATTTTGATGTCGTGCGTCGGAAAACGTCTTCAGCTGAGCATGCTCACAGTTTGCACAGTTCGATCCATTCGGATTTTCACCTACATTTTTCCAAACACGGCATGTAGTGAATTAGAAAACGGCTGTATGTGAGTCACTGCGTATCACGTGCTGCACACACGTAAAGTACACACGGATTACGTGGGACTAAACCTCCCTGCTATCTCAGTTACAACGTACTTAGACTTGAACCCGGATGTATTAGTCCATACTGAAATACATGTACGTGTACGTGTATGCTGGGATGGGTAGAACCTGGGCATACTACGTACACTTTCACGCTGGCCATGGGGTTATTCCAATCACCGTTCTACAGGATTGAAGTTTATCAAAAGTAACTTCGCACCGTGCTAGCGGAAAAAGTATTGAGAGACATTAATTTTGCCCACCTGACACCTACATGTACAATGCACTGTAGTACTGCATGCAGTGACACTAAACAGCCTTACACCCTGGGGCGCTAACAGCCCAGATTCACCTTTTCTTGCAGATATTTTTATTTCAATTGGACTGGAATATCAGAAAGTCGTCAGCATAATCGCATTGTCACACTATAATATGTTGTGTGCCGCACAAGATTTCAAAGCTACCATACGCCTCGAATTTCAAAGTAACACGCGCTGATCAACACGAATCAAACATACTACAAGTTAGTAGTAATGTAGTGACGAAATCCTACCTGTTGTTAGATGACCGCCGTCTTGTAAGCTTCATGCTTCATGCCAATTGCCCCACCGACAAATACCACGCTTCCGAGAACTAGACAGCTCAAGCCCAAAACAAGAGGTAGGCTGCTATTGCGCTCAGAGTTAATATGGAACATTATCAATCCCGCGCCAATGAAGAGAAAACATAGGCCAATAGTGTAAGCAAATATGTAGGATAGAAGCATCGTCCCGATTGCCCTGAACACAATTCTACCACTGGTGTATATGAAGCAGGTTGACGCTGATCTACATGTAAATCCACACAGATTCCAGTACTTCTAAACTGTTTCATTCGCGTTAAATCTGACAATTTTGCACAGAGTACATAAATGCATAATACGAAGGATTAGCAAGACGAAATTCGCGTTCGCGTTCGCAAACATTTTTCAGTTCGCGAACTGGATTGCGTACTTTAGCATTTTTCGTTCGGAAAAGTAGTCGGAACACGAATCGCGGATTCGTGTAAGGGCAGTCATAAATTTACCACGCTGTACTGTCTGTACGCAATGTACGTCGTGTCAGCGTCATGCATTTGCGAATTCTGGTTGCTAATCCTTCTCATAACGGGAATTCCGTCTCTGAGTTCGACTTTCCTTGGGGAGCGAACGCGAACGCGAATTTCGTCTTGCTAATCCTCCGTAATAACTACTGTAATATACGCAGAGTAGGGAGAGAGGACATCTATAGTTGAAGCGGCGATCTGAGCACTCGTCGTTCGATGCGAGCCACTGCTTTTCTATTGTCTCAATATTCAAGTGCACTGCAGTACTGAAGCAGGAGTGAAGTATCCCAGAGCAACGTTCACGTAATCCCATTAGACTTTCTACTGTTTTTTTCCCTGTTCTTTTTTCTTTCCTTTTTACCGAGCTGGGCTTGCACGTACATGTACTGTTGCAATATCGAAAACACATGTGCATGAGAAGCTCAACAAGTGTATTGCTCTCATTGCATCACCGGATCAATACGTTTGGACTGCATGGTAGTCTCGACATCACAGTGTGATACGCAGCCATTGGATACTACGGTTCGCAAGATACGTCGTTCGCAAGATAGATTGGTAGTTCGCAATACTGACAGGTGTGCAGCTCTCCGTGTTGCATCATGCTTGATAGGCCTTGATAGGCCATGTTCCGAAGTACATCAGGAAATTCACCACCAGTTTATAATATGTGTCTCGCTAGAATACCATTCCATTGACTGGGGCCAGGTCTATGTCAAGTGTTTGCACTATTCTGGGTGTGAAGCGGCCTTGGAGATCTTCCAACAATCACGTCCTCTAAGCGAGCAATTCAACTACTTTTCTCTGAAACCAACTGCAAACTCTGTAGCCAGGCTACTGTTAGGTACTATAAAACCGGAAAGTCTAACGATGTAAAAGAATAACGCTTTTGTAATTTTGGCATGATTAGTTACGTGCAGAAAGTTTAACGATGGCTAGCTGGGTGTGTTTCTCAACGCAATGGTATAGCCGGTGGTAACGCGGACGTGTAAACTTTACTTTACTTTTACCTGGCCACCAATCTGTATGCGCATCTTTACACAGACATCTTACTATAACGTTTTTTTCCAATAACGGAAAACAATTGGTTGTTAAAACGTTAGATTTTGTGCCTCGTTAGACTCTCAGGTTTTACAGTAGGATTTAGGTAGGAGAATCAATGCAATTATAATGTAGAGGTATTACCGAACACCCCGTAACATGTGGCGTTTCACACACATCATCACAGTTCGTCATTTCTTGTTTGTGATAACTTAGCAAACCGATCGTCTCGGCTCCAAAGCAAAAGGTACACACTGCAAGAATGAGAAAATAAAAGAGCTAGTGAGAGAAAGAGGGAAAAAAAGAACGAGAGAGGAAGAGAGAAAGAGAGACAGACAAACAGAGAGAGACAGAGAAAGAGGGATATATAGATAGATAGATAGAGAGAGAGAGAGAGAGAGAGAGAAAGAGAGAGAGAGAGAGAGAGAGCGAGAGAGAGAGAGAGAGAGAGAGATAGAGATAGAGAGAGAGAGAGAGAGAGAGAGAGAGAGAGCAAGAGAGAGAGAGAGGGACAGAGGGACAGAGAGAGAGAGCAAGAGAGAGAGAGAGAGAGAGAGAGAGAGAGAGAGAGGGATATATAGATAGAGAGATAGAGAGAGCAAGAGAGAGGGAGAGAGGGAGAGAGAGAGAGCAAGAGAGAGGGAGAGAGGGAGAGAGAGAGAGCAAGAGAGAGGGAGAGATTGAGCGACACGTAACTAGATAGAGAGACAGAGCGAGAGGAAGATTTGCGCATTAGTTAGATCCAAACAGCATTAACACCTGTTAAGGTAAGATCATGAAAACAATTGTATTTGTATTGTTCAAATTCACCGAGTGAAGGGGAATATCGTGTTCCTGGGACGTGGTATTGCTGAACACAATAGAACATAAAACCGTGAAAAATGCGGGAACGATAGCTACACCTCTGACCCGCCATCCGAATCCTTACCCCTGCTTTCAACATCAACATCAGCTTTCAACATCACTGCTTGCCAGGTGAATTTCGGAGGCCACTAGATGACTTGGGAACGCTGGGGAAGCAAGAAATGGAGGGGCGCCTGCCTCTGGCACGCTTGAAGACGAGTCAATGGAGGATGCATCGGTAAGCTTACGTGTACTGGGTGTTTCAAGTCTATCGGGTTGAGCTTTAACAAAAGATAAAGCCAGCAAGGAGGAAGCCAGCAAGGAAAAAGCCACTGATCACATATGATAATATGGCAGTCGCGTCTTTTCTACTATCACTTGCAAAATAAATTGCGAGGGTTAAAACAATTGCGAAGCTTATCACAACCACAGCAAAGCACAACACAATCTTTAAACCCTCCAAGTTGTCAGCTTTCCAATTCTCACTCTCTTCTTCTTGGTACATTTTCTGTCGTGCATTGTCACTTGAGACTGGGCTGCAAGCACAGTGGGGTAAGAGCATAGGACATCACATGTAGAGAATCTCAACCATACAGCCTCCCATGATGGAACTCCCTTCAATTTAGACTTTGTATTTGGAAAATCCTCTAGTATACAATACGATACAGATCTTTAACGAGGCATGGATACTTCTTGGATATTGGCCCATTGCAAGGCTATCATAGTGGCGTATCACATGAATATGAATATAATTGTAGGTTTTCTGCGCACGAAATCTCGACACCATCGTGTAAATAATGCTCAATAAAGCTTTCAACGTAGTAGTCAGATTGAAGGAATTGGGAATGATACATGTGTTCAAAGGTGAGAAGAATAGAAAAGTAAATAATATATTATTATGTATAAAGAAATATCGAACATCGCTGAGATAATGGTATTGGTATCATATAGGCAGCGGACTGTAAACTATTTTCTTCAAGTTACAAAACTCACGGTTTTCCGAGAAACACAGAAGCTGGTGGACCCAGCCCTCGGTGCACCCAGTACCCTTCGCGGATATCACAAACAGAATATAACTGGCAAAAGTAGGTACTTTCCCTGTAGATTTCATGCGTGTTTGGTTTCTGGGAAGAAATCGGAGCAGATTTCAAGTACGCACCTGCCCTGAATTGTGTGGGATTCTGCAAATTTCAAACAGAATATGATGTGATATGATGCTCATGTCTTATCACGTGACTATTACGTCATATATTTTGCCTGTGTATTACGTCACAACCAGCATGCGCCATCTTGGACTAGTCGCCTGAAGTGCATGCTTGGCTTGACCTGGTGGTCTGTTCTTACCTGTCTTCTTCACACTTGTATCTAATATTTTTCCCAACCTCAACCTGTGTCCTTGAGTGTTTGTGCATGACTGTGAAGGTAGACATCACAGAATATGCCATATTTTCCAGCATTATCCGCCTTGGGCTAGGGCTAGGACTCACTAGTCACATACATCACGAACGAACTTCAGTACGATCAGAACCCCAATGCGGCAAACATAAATTGGAACATTTGTAATACCATACCAATACATTGGATTTCAAATTAATTCCCACTAGTCAAATTTGCCAGATTTCTGGTCACCGATACTCACATGCAGTGCTCTTTGACGACTGCACGAACTTCCGCATCCACGACAGGTTTCTTTTCCATAATCCAATGAGGAGGACAACGATTTTTATTCAACGCGAAGAAGTTTCAGAGCGCTGCCAGTTTCGGACTCTCCGTTCCTTTTACTAGGCTTGAATGATAACCCTTTGCAAATGCACTGGACTCTTACGGGCGTGCTAAATCACCTACTACCATACAGCATAGTAAGCCAGGAAGCCACGTCGCACTGGACCCGCTGTGCGGGGGGGGGGGTATTGAGCATCCAGATTGTCGAGAAAGACTCAAAGCATCTTGCAGTGCGAATTGACGCAAGATTGAAGAACCTTTTTCTACTGTAGTACTGATCCAGAAAAGTGGAAAGTGGCCCACCAAAACCATGCTAAAAAAGGCGGAAAGAGTGCTCTACCCTCTTGGAGGTCATGTACTCCTTGTAGCGGACTTGGGCATCACTGTCAATAGTACAAGTACTATCAAACCATTCACTCGCGAAGTAAAACAGGAATATCTAGCGCAAGATGAAAGACAGCTGCGGATAATAACTGCGTGTTACATGTACGTACTGATTTTGAGTAGCTTCCCTAGAACATGACCCTGGACACTTGCAACGTCAGACGTTCATGCGTATTGTGTATTGTGCGGGGTAATGACCCTTCAGATTCTCATAATTTGAAAGTTTCAATTCTGGCTGTTCTTGGTATCCAACTATGCCAGCGGACCTTAGGCTATATGGTGCAGAAACACAATTTCTAGTGAAACGGACTACTGGTTCCAAAGTTACTACCGTTTCAAGTTCAACGATTCAAATGAAAATGAGTACGCATGGCTCGAAAATTTGTACAATTTGGCACTCCATGCAGTCGGTGATTTTCATTGAAGATCATGAAAACAGGTATATTTGTATTGTTTAAATTCACCGAGCGCCGGGCAAAAACGTGTTCCACGAAGATGGCGTAAATGAACATAATCATACAGGAAACCGTTTAACATGACAAATGGGGGAAAGATGGCTATACATCCGTCGCGCCATCCGAATCCGTACAACAGCTTTCACCATTGATTGCCAAGTGCATCTCGTACGCAACTAGATGAAGACTAGGGAACTATGGGGAAGCAAGAAATGGAGGGACGCCTGCCTCTGACACGCTTGAAGACGAGTCAATGGAGGATACATTGGAAAGCCTCCGTGTACGGGGTGCTTCAAGTGTATCGGGTTGAGCTT